CTTTACTGCCAGCACGACTGGGAAACTCCACTCGGCGTCCGACGGCTCGATTACATCTTGTGCCAACATTTCTTCAATATGTTTTGTTATGAACTCACGGCCTGTCCAACTCGTTCTGGCCGGGTTGCATTTAACTGGTTTCGCGTCTCCCGTATCGATTACATGAGTGACCCCTTCACGTCTCCATACGGTTTCTTTGATGTCGGTAAGACCTTCCAGAATTCCCAGAACGCGTTGTATACGTCGTTCTTCTGTTCTTCAGTTAGGTCAGGTCCTAGTTTCAAATTCCCAATTATCTTTGTCAGTTCCGTTTTCGTTGTATCATCCACCTCTGGGTCCTCGAGTACGTTCTTTACTGTCCCAGCGTTGACCTTTACATTCTCCATATGTTCATACGGCTCAACGTAGCCGAGAAGCTGATTTTTCTTCACGATTCGGTATTTGCTACTATGATTCGCAATGACGATTTCAAAGTACTTTCCTCTGTGGTCCGTTACTCCTGCCAACGGTTGTACTTCAGTTTCTACTTGTGGGACCGGTGTGAACATCAGCTTGTTTTGAGCCGGTGCGTATTTTCCCATCTTGACCTTTACACGTGTGCAGTTTGACGGTTTCAACTTGATTCGTTGGTCGCTGTAGACTTTGATCACGTCTTTCGACATTCTGGCTTTTTCCACTTTCAATCTTCTGACTTTAATATCCTTTTCTTTTTCTTCATCTACTTCATCATCCTCATCCAAGTCCATTAAATCCTCTTGCTCCGAAAGGTCACTTACACCTGAATCTTCCGAAGTTGTTGAGTTATCACTTGAACTCGTCCACTCTGAATCCGAATTACTGCTCTCATATCCCTGTGCAGTGGCTTGACCTTTGTCAGCCTTTTCAAGTGGGCGCTCATCAACTCCTTCATCTTCCGATGAAAGGTCACTTTCGTTTTCTCGCGAATCGCTAAGTTTTTTCGCTTTCGAATTTTTGAGCAGGGGTTTGTCCCCTTCTTTTGCCTTTCGCCCGTTTCGTGCGGCTACTCTCGGGTGACTCCTCGCTACTCGAATTCTCGTTGGTGACCTTTCTGATTGATCGGAGTTTGACCTTTCTTCGTCCGATTTTGACTTTTCCAGTTCATTTATTTCTTCGGGGCTCGTTAATGGCTTTTCGGTCAACTCGACCGGCGGACATTCCTCACCGTTATCGAGTGACCTTTCCCCGTTTTTTGCCTCAGTTACTGGGTTTTGTTGTTCGTTCGATATCCTTTCAACTTCCTCTTTAAACCTTTTCCACATTTCACCTCTGTCCGTTAACATTTGCGCAATATCGAAAGCCGACTTTGAACTTTCTTCTGTTTCATTCGATTGTCCTTCGGCTATCTCTTTAACTGGTTCCTCTTTCTCTGCTTCTTTGACAGTCCCTTTATTGGTTTGATCCTGTTGAACTGTTTCGTAACCTTTAGGTCGTTTAGGACCAACGAAAATGCAGTTTGCCATCAGTTCTTCGGTGACCCATTCATCATTCGGAATCGTTTCATACATGCACCATGTATCGCCACCTCGTTCTGGGTAGTCCACTCCATCTGGATCTGGTGCAAAGGTCACCTTTTTCTTTTGCATCAGTCCCGGTGACCTTCTTCTCCGGGTTACTTGTAATTCTCTCATGTCTTTGACATCAAATGTGGGAATTTCTCTTTCAAATTTATCCCAGTATTTCTCGAATGCTTTTTCGTTTCCCTCTTTTAACGCGTTGTAGTACACTTCAAGTGATTCGTAGACAGGTGTACCAAGTCCTGCCGGGAAGATGATCGTTCTCCCTTCACCTTTATACATGTGGTTCACACGGAAGTCCCAGAAAAGATCAACTCTCGCTTCTTCCCACATTTCTCCTTCCTCGGTCATTTCTTCTATCTCTCGTTCAAATCTCCTTTCTGTTGCTACCGGATCGAGAGGATCTTGGATTCCTTTCTCCACACGTTGCAACCAATGGTTCAGCCATCTGCCTCTTCCAATTATGAAACTTTCCACACATGACAACCACGTTCGATATCTATTCCAATGATACCGTTCGATGTGTGGTTTCCACATTTCGTTTGTCCGCATGATGCTTTTCGCTTTCTTTTGGGCATGACCTTTAAGGTCTGCTAATGCGGCATTACATCTTGGCCATTCTGAAAGGTCATCTTGGGAGGCATTTTCACAACATTCCGTGCATTCCCATTGTGGTTGCACTCTGCACGGATCCTCAAAGTAACCGTGGTGACAACTCCCGGCTCGTTCTTCTGGAGTTAATGTCCTTTGACTCGCTTCAGTTTTAACCTGTTCCTGTACTGTGGTAACTTCCTCACATTCGATTGGAGTCACGCTTTTATCCTCAGAGGATATTTCAATGACCTCTGGTTCTTTTTCTGTTCGGTGACTTTTCAATTGTTCGAGTGCCTTGTCGCGGATTTCGCTTGTAAACATCTGTTCCTCTTCAACTATTCGTTTAAAAACTCGTAACCTTTCACTCTTTTTATCCTTCCCCACTTTAGCCGTCTTTATTTCCAGTGCCTCTGGTACTGGGATAGGCTTTGCCCACTCCATGTCTGGCACAAGAGATTGTTTCGCTGCAACTGCCGCTTCTTTCTGTGTGGCAATTATCTCTTCAATCATTGGTGACCTTTCAATCGTTGGTGGCCTTTGAGAGTCACGTTCTGTTACTTCCTCTTTGGCTTTATCTGGTAGCCTTTCATTTTGGGTAGCAGATCGTGGTTCGAAAAGGTTCGAATTACGCTCTCGTTCCAAGTTCTCAGTTGCTGGTGACCTTTCGTCTTCCTTTCCCAGTGCCTCTGGTACTGGGATAACTTTTCCAACTTTTCCATTTTCATTTTTCGTTTCCAGTGCCTCTGGTACTGGGATAATTTCTTCCTGCTGCACTTTTGTCATTCCCGGTGCCTCTGGTACTGGGATGACCTTTTCTCTTCCCTTCTGTGCCAGCAAGGTCCGATTTAATGTCTTTTCGATCTCCTGCTGAATCATTTGCAACTGCTCAAATGGTGACAATTCTTTTCGCGTCATCTTTTTCTTTTCGTTTCCCGGTGCCTCTGGTACTGGGATTAGCGTTTTATTAACCATTTGAGCATTTCCCGTCTGTTTTACAAGTTCGGTGACCTTTCCGACTTGAACTTTGGCGACTGGTTTTGGGTCGTCTTCTTTCTCTTCTTCACCTTCGTTATCCATTAGTACGAATTTCTTTTCCAAGAAGTCGAATCCCAATAACACTTGTACGTCGTCACACTTCGGTCGGACGTAGAATGAATGTTCGCTAGTCTTTTTCCTTAAGGTCACTGGCGCTACACAGTAGCGCGTCACCAGGAATCCTGACGTTCCACTAATTCCATTTATTTTCACCAATCTGTCTGGTGGCAATGGGAGCATGTGGAGTCCATTCTTCTCGCAAAACGGTTTGCTGATCAGCGACGTCTCAGCGCCGGTGTCCAACATTGCGTTGACCTTTATGTCTCCCACTTTCACTTCGTGTGTGTACGCTTCAATTCTCTTGGGCAATTTTCCGTTTTGAATCTTCAGTGTATGAATCTTACATTTCACAGGAATGAGCGATACTGGTCCCGGATCCATATCGGAAAGCACTTGTCCTTTTGCTGGAGTGCTATGACCTTTCAGTACCTCGCTCAGCTTATCAATCCTATGTGGAACGTTAGTCCGAACATCGTAATATTTTCGAGTCTCTTTCTTGTCTATTTGCTTCTCAGGAATCTTTTTACTGCTGGTGACCTTTTCGGCATTTTGCACTTGCTCGTTTGCTTTTGTGCCAGCTGTGTGACCTTTTGTCATTTCGTTTATCGTCTGATGAATCAGTTCCTCTTTACGGTTTTCATTTCGCTTATCTCTCAGCTTCTCAATGACTTCACTTGTTATTTGGTCAGCTCGCTTCAATTCGTCTTCTTCACCATCTCTCATCTCCTCTGGTGACCTTTCATATGTGACCATATTATATCCCTTTTCGGTCATCCATTCGATCACTTTCGCGGACACTTCATTGTTCGTTTTCGTCGGATCGATTTGTGAAGACATTCCGTCTGTTCGGGCTGGTGACTTGTCATTGGCATCCTTTTGCAGTGCCTCCGATAAGTCCCGTGACCTTTCAACTGCGCTACTCTGTTGCGTTTGCGCTATCTCATTTGACCGTCCTTTTTGTTCATTTTGCGCTAAGTCCTGTGACCTTTCGTTGCGCTTCATGACAAATCCGCCACCTGTCAGCTTTTGTATGGGGACTTTTTCTCCATAATTCGGCGGTTTATCCTGTGGTGGAGCATTACGTGAATGATTCCAGTCAGCGAATGTCTTCTTATATTCCTCTGGATTGAATACTGGGACTGGGTTCGATGACCTTTGCGCTGGTTTCCCGGTAACCAACTCTTCCAGTCGCTTTCTTTCACATTGCGTTCGCAACTGTTGCATGTCCCAGTAGTCCTCTTGTGACATTCTCGCTTTCTGCTTTGCTTTCGGCGTCACAGGTATCCACATCCCGTGATTGCCATTCGGTCTGTAGGCCACTTTTTTGCCACTTCTCCTTCTGTTGTAATGTTACTGCGTCCACAAGTGAGTCGTCGGAGTTCTGTGCCGTTTCATTATTCTTTGCTGCGCTGTTCGCAGTGTCAAGTCTGTTTCTTGACCTTTTAACACGACGCTATCGCCGTGACCTTTGGCGTTCACACCTGCTCCGTGACCTTTCGCTTGAACTTTTCCAACAGACGGTGACCTTTCATCTTTACTAATGACGGTGATATTCTGCTTAATCCATTCTTGCCTTATTCGCTTCTCTTCTTCGTCTTCTGAACGATTCCAAAACTTTGGCTTTGGCTCCCCGTAACAATCGCAACTTGGCTCATTCGCGCTTTTATCGTTTTCCGCAATTTTGCTGCCACACTTCTGCTCAGGTACCATTCTGCGGTGACCTTTGGTCCCGTTGGTGCGTTTCCACTCGCAGTGCCATTCTGCGGTGACCTTTGATTCTGCGACGGTGTCCTTATAACCGTTCCATTTCCTTTTTGCGCTGACGGCATCCATATAGCCGTTTCTCTTTGCTGTGGCGGCATCCATCTAGCCGTTTCTTGTGGTTGCGGCATCCATATAGCCGGTCCGTTTTGCTTTTTCGCTGACGGCATCCATATAGCCGTTGCAGTGGTCACGTTCACTGCAGTACCATTCTGCAGTGGTGACCTTTCCCTTTTATCCGGTGGTTTAGGGTCGGGTCGATCAGTAGGCTCACCGGTGCCTACTGATCTTGCCCGTTTCCCTGAACCGGCGCCCCACCTTGTTGTGCGCCCTGCACATTTCCTTGCGCTTGCTCGTTCACTGGGCCACCTCCGTTTGGCTGGCCACCACCCTGTTGGTAGTTTCCGCCTCCATTTCCACCGCCTCTGTAATTTCCGCGGCCATAGCCTCTGTTTCTTCCTCTGAAGCCGCCGCGGCCGAAGCCACCACGGCCGAAGCCGCCATTCTGGCCACCACCATTTCCGTTTCCATAGTTACCGTTACCTTGCTGATTCTGAAAGTTCGCTTTCGCCTGGTACCATTGCGTGATCAGGTCATATCCATTTGCGACCGCTTGGCGCCAACCACCGAGCCCGCGCAGTCGTTGCCACTCGTTGAAGGCAAACAGGTTTGGGTTCTGTTCCGGTGGTGTGTGGGCGAATTTGCATCCCTGGGTCTGGTGGTTGCCATACATACAGTACTGGCACATCTGAACGTTGTTCGCCACCCATCCGTCAATCATTTGGAACTTGAATTCGGTTCGTGACCCTTGATTTTGCTGATTATTGTTCTGGTTTCCTCTGTTTGGCTGAAAGTTGCCTTGCCTTTGACCTTGATTCTGAAAGTTTCCTTGGCCTCCATTCCAGTTTCCATTTCCATATCCATTTCCACCGAAATTTCCATTACCCCCACCTTGTTGTGGTAACCCGACATTCACAGGAGCCATTATCTGTGGTGCCGGTGGAGCCGCATTCTGGGGTGCCGGTCTCACTTGAGTAGCTGCCTGTATCGCCGCCACCATCGCATATGTTATTGGTTGTCCCGTCTGACTGTCGATAAAAGTCACCTTTTCGGTGACCTCTCTGACCGGAGTCTCCACGCGGTATTCAACCGGCTGCTGGACTGGCGCAGCTGCCATTCTCTGTTGCGGCACGTTTTCAACTTGGCCTTGGCGGATGGTCACGTATTCCTGATTACGTTGACCTTTTGGTGCCTTGTATTTTTCTTCGCCCGTTGCCCAATGTCGGAAGAAGTCCTTCACATCCGTTGGCGTCTTGCACTTCTGTATGCGCAGGGCTTTGTAGAGTTCGTTGTCCCCTCTACATCCTTCAATCAGGAAACCCACTGCTTGTTTCTCTGTGATGATCCGCTTTGCTTTGAATCGCATCATCGCCTGATAATACTGGTCCAGCGATTCTTTTCCGAGTTCAAATTTCCTTGCATAGGCCTCACGTAAGCCTAAGACTTCTTCATCTCGATCACCATATTCGTCCTTGAATTTGTCCATCCACTCTGTTATTGAGTATTCAATTCTATCTTCGGCTGCGATGTCCTTTTCTCCTTCAAACCATGTTTTTGCAGGACCTTTCACTGCACTGGCTATCTCAATCATGATTTGGTCGTCCGTCAACTGATAAGTCCTTTGGGTTTCTTTCACCAATCGTGTCCACCCACTCACTGTGTCACGACTGCCGTCAAAGGTCATGAGTGGTGTTTTCCGGGCCATCGAGTTGAGTGCTTTTGTCAATTGCACCGCTGTGTCAATTTCTGCCCTCTGGTCATCGTCTTCTTCGCTACTTGCATCATCACTTTGATTTCGTTTCGCTTTTCCATAACGGGATTTCCTTGGACGCTCCTGCCGGCTGGGGGGTCTGTCCCGTCGTCCTTCATCAATGAACACATTTGTCTCCATGTGCGGGGGAAATTGTGAAGGGTCACCTCGACTCATATGCGGGTAACTTTCCGATGGTGGCTCTTTGTCATCTTTGGCCTTTTCCCCGTCCTTTTCGTTTTTGACACTTCCTCTGCCAGTACCAGTTCGTAGCGGCATGTCGAAGTGGAAGCTTTTACCCGTGCCCGTTTCATGCGCCTTGCTGTAACTGGGCGGGGGGGACTCCACTGTTGCCGTTTTAACTCCATATTGTAGGAGTTGTTCATCTTTGTGCTTGTTAGACGTCTGGAGCGCCTTGTTCTCATCTTCCAATCGTTTAGTTCTCAGTTGAAGTTCTTCTCTTTCTCTCTTTAGATCAGAATTTTCCAGGTTGACCTTTCGTAAGTGTTCCTGCAGTTTAAAAGACTCCTGCTGGGTGACCTTTTCATTTTCCTGTTCCATCTTTTTGATGTGCTCGACCAGCTCACTCGTTTCATTTTCGAGTTGCTGATACTGCCCAGCGGCTGATCTCAGCTGATCCTTGATTGCGATCAACTCATCATCTTTTGCCAATGCTGTGGTGGTCATCTCGACGAGGTCAGTGTTCAGCTTTGCAATCTCCTGACTCTTTTGAGCGACCTGTTGTTGCCACTCTTTGTCCTTCAGCTCCAATGTTGTGACCATTGTGTCCAGTCGCCGTGCTTCCTTCTGCCATTTGAGTCCTTCCTTAGTGACCTTTTCAATGTCTTCTGTGACCTTTTCATTCTCCTGGTTGACCTTTTTGATTTCTTCTTTCAGGCGTTCTCCTTCAGTAGCTGTGATGTCTCTTGCCTCTCGCATCGCTTTGATTGCATCATTGCGCAACTTCTCAGCTTCGTCCGCCCGTTCCTGATGACCTTTCGATTCTAGTTGCAGAGTGCTGACAGCCTCCTCCCGTAGCTTCAGGTCATTCCTTAGTTTGAACGTCTCCGTTGCCAATGTCGTTAACCGTTGTGTGACCTCTGCGAATTTGGTCGCGTATTCGTCCCGTTTAGTTTCAGCTTCAGTGACCTTTTGTCGTAACTGGTCACACTCGTCCTTCAATTCGGCTAAGTGTCGTGACCTTTCAGCTGATTCTTCTGACATACTTTCATTAAGGTCACTGACTGCAAGATGACCTTCCATTTCTCTGTCATCTACCATTTTCAGATACTCCTCGGCCAGTTCCCTTTGCTTTTCATATTTCACCTTCCATTCTTCTGCTGTATTCTCCAAGTATCCCCGTTGTTGTTCCAACTCAAATAGCCGGGTCTCAAGCGATGTCAGTCTCTCTTGATATTCCTGTTTTCGTCTCGCCGTCTGATCTTCCTTATTGTGGAGTTCATCTTCCAAATCCTTCACGCGCCTCTTCAGAGTTGACGTGGGACTATTCGGTGACGGCGGTCGTACGTTGATGACCTTTCCCGTTTGTGTCCTTTCAATAAGGTGCTCGGGTATGTCCTTAAACGGTGTCATCCCTTCAGCACGATCAGCTTCTTTCATCGCGGTCTGGAAGGACATATTCATCGTCGCTTCGTCATCCGTAAAGTAAGACTCATTCGATTCGTCTGAGACCATCGGAGTTGCCCAAAGGTCATCACCAACAGTCTTATCGTGCAGTGAAAGGTCATCCAATCCCAGTTCAGCCAATTCCATTTCTGTGACCTTTGTCTTATCCATTTCCATTCGAGTCAGGTTCACGTTTTTATCCTGCTCGTTTGTTCCGCTAATGGTAGCATCCAGCTGTGATGCTCCAACTGGTTCCACTCCTTTCCCTGTGGGCATTTCCTCCCCGGTGACCTTTTTCTGGTTCATCGGATGACTTCCCGCCGCAGATGCGGGAGTATCCTTTCCGTCACCGCTGGAGCTCTCCTCATTCTGTGTAGCTCCAAGCGCCACTTGGTATGTGCTATCACTGCCTTTGCTGTCTTTTCTTGCAAAGGTCACAGCCGCTCGGGTCTGTCTATCATGTCCGACTGGACGCGCGAGCGACTTGTATTCCTTCTTATATGGATCAACTGCGCTTTGTTGTGATCCTCGGGAGCTCCTGCTTCCCTGACTGCTGGTAGATGTCGGTTCCTCTTGTTCTTTGTCCATGTTGATCGGATAACTTGGACGCTCCTGTCAATTGTTCTCACACACACGTTATTGTATGGTTTATTCGATTTTCCTAAAGGTCACTTTGTACCTCCGAAATTTTTCTAAGTCTTTATTAAAGGTCACTTTTCGACTGAAAAATTTCGACCAAGTCCCGTTTAAAGGTCACTTTTTCGGTAAAAAGTTCGAGAGGTTTGCCCTAAAAGGTCACTTTCGGACAAAACTTCGAGACCGTTTTTTACAGTTTGAAACACGTTAGCAAATGAAATCCTACAGCTGCTGATATCGCTGTACCACTATTCAGTTCAATTTCGCTTCAATAAAGGTCACCGTTCGTCAATTCCGGATCTTAAAGGTCACTCGAAAGGTCATTTTGATCAATTAGAACTTTTCGGTAAAGGTCACTTTCCGATGTCAAAGGTCAACTTCTGATCTCAAAGGTCACTTTCCTGCTCGTCTCAACTCAAAAGGTTACTTCTCAACTCGATTCAAGTTAAAAAGTAACTTTCCAGCTCAATTTTAATCAAAGGTCACTTTCCTTTGTCTCAACTCAAAAGGTCACTTCTCAACTCAATTCAAGTTAAAAGGTCACTTTCCCGCTCAATTATCTCATCTCAAATCAAATTTCCCATTACGACTCGAGTTCAACGGAAAATCCCCATTCGGGTTGTTTACTTCATTCCTATTGGTCAGCTAGCGCAAATCATTCAGTTCAAATTTCAACCAATCACAGCTCAGATAACTGACCAATCACGTTGCTCCTCTAAAAATTTATATCTGCCTGACGTCACGGTCAACGGCCAGACATGCGCGCCGTGTGCAAAACTCCGCCTATTTTTACGCTCAGCTCAGAACGGACCAATAAAAATTGACAATTTTACCGTCTAACCAATCTCGTAATTAATAACGGTTTTCTACCTGTTAACCGTCCGTTCCACGGGAAAGTGATCCAGATGATCCAATTCTTCTCCACCGTCCGTTCCCGCGCTGCCGCTTTTCCGTAGCGGTTGTGCCGCCCGCTTTTTATATGCTACTGTGCCGGCTGACTGCCGTAGCAACAGTAGTGGTGCTCTACTCCAGTTTGGAGCAGTCTGATCTGGTCTTTTCCGTGCGCCCCTTTTGGCGCTTCGCCGCTTGTGGCCCACGGCTTAGGCTTCGCTGAAGCCTTGCCGAGTACCAGTGACACCAGTGTAGGTCTTCGCTGAAGACTCTACACCGAGGAACACTGGCGACTGCTCTCTTGCACTCTTGCACAGCTAAGGAAACAGCACGGTTCTTCGCTGAAGATACCGTACCGAAAACCAAAGCTGGAAATCCGCGTCCGTTGGAGGAAATTGCACCGCTTGTGGTGTGCGCTTTGCTGTCACACAGACCTGCGCCTTGCTGGTCGCGGGTAACACGTCAAATAACAGGCCAATTTTGCCTGACACAATTCAAATCAGATCAGATCAATTCAATCAGAGAACCGCTGTCGGCTCTGCTACCATCTAATGCTAGATCCAACTGTGATCCAGATACGGAGACCTAAACGGAATAGATCCCGTGGAGTGAGCTATGCGATAAGTATAGCGAACTACGCGGAATCGCGAAACGTCGCACCGCTAATAGCTGACTTTTAATAATATTGACAAATCTGCTCAACAGAAAATCAACAATGATCGGCGCAGCTCGATCGTAAAGCGTGGAGCCCATTCAACAGCGTGCAACGCTGTGCAGCACGTGCTATGCCGCGCCCACTAACAAAACACAAGCCAATCAGAAGCGAGACACAACACAGGCCATAATCCAAAGGCGTAGCGCCTAGCGCCACTGACGTGAACGCTAGTGATCCCGGTCTCACAACAGGAACCCCCTCATAACAAATGATCACAGTATAATAAGTCACTGAAAGATTACATGTCATAATAAATCCAAAGTAATCTGTGTAACTTGAAACTGTCATATTGTCCATGACCAACACAGTAGTGAATGCAAAATTCACAGCGCCGTCAGGTTTTTAATCTCTTATTACACGCGCGCACCCGTTATTAATAGCGGGAAATAGTTTTATGTTTTTCCCTTATTCATAACGGAGAGTTGCAGGTACGTGCTCAGCAGCCGTGTCGTGGATCCTAGCGGGCTGTTCAGAATTGGCAAATTTGCACACTAAACCCTTACACGCCATTCAAACGATTAAAGCACAGGTCAGCTTGACGGATCCGTGGTCTCAATGCTGAATCCGGTTGGAAGGTTAAAGAAGAATACTGCCGGCGAAGAGAGAGGTCAGTCCATCTTTATAACCGGATTTCTCCGTAGCAAAATCGTTCTCCCTATTGCTGTGCGCCAGTATTATATGGAGAGACGTATTCTCAAGCTTGCTGGTAGTGTTTGTGCTCCACTGCAAACGTGCAGCTGTTCATTCTGAAGTTACAACATTGTACCAAAACGACACTGTCCCAATTGGCATCTAGTTTCAGTAAGCATTCATGTGCAACTGTACCTAATTCAAAATAACTATCTTCCTTATGTCTGACAACACTTTGGGGAATCTTACTGCTGCTCCTGGATTGCCCTTAACGAACGGTATCTACAATTGTTTGGTAGGTGCAGTCTTTGCATAACGCAAAATTATTTATCCTTTGTCAGTAGTTCTCTTAAAAGCATTTTCAGAGATTGGCTGTAAACGCATTCGATAGCAGCCTTTTTTGATTTAATAAACCTATTTTAATTTATGACAAGATACTTTCTTGACCGTCCGGTTCAAAGTGCTTTCCTGCACGGCCTTTTTTTCCGTCATGAATAATGTACTCCACTTGTTTTCGAAGCCATATGTGTAAGATGTACTACATCTTACACTTGAATTTAGTCGCTAAAAAACTACATCTGATGTAGTTTTTTAGCGACTAAATTCAATAAAAGTGTATTTGAATTAGTAATAAATCAGGCCGCTGCAGGCACGTAGCGCACAAAACGTATTCAAAGTTAAAACTGAAATAACTGTTCGCCACTTGTGACCTCTTACAGCTTAGGGCGAAATGGTCGCTTACCTCACGTATCCACATTCGGTACGCATGAAGCGCAGTGCACTGTACGACAGAGTTCAAAATATGCGGTTCGTACAAGGGCGCTGCACCACATGCGTACAGAATGCTGGGTATGGGGTTAAAGTGTGCACGAATGCGCGACTCCTTAACGCATCGAGCAAAGTTAGCAAAGTCAATCTCGAAATTCGTTAGGGTTTGTCTGATAACAATTATTTGCAGGAAGAAATAAAAGAAATCCTCACAAATGGGAATCTTGTTTAGCAACTTTGCTAAGAACGCTGGTGCCACCCAAGCGACCCAGCTGCGTGCCGGCATGGGCGAGTTCGGTGAATATCTGGTTCAGGTGGCGGCGCTGCTGCGCGACAGCCACCACACGGTCCACGGACTGAACACGGTGGGCGCCCATTTCGGCCAGCATCTGGCCCGCGCCGCACAGGCCTTCCAGGATATGCGGCTGAGCGTTAACGGTCTGGATTCCGCAGGACGCGATGTGGGTCGCGAGTTTGGCCGGCATTTGGTGGACGCGGCGGATCTGCTCACCACGCACGGAATCCGGATGGTCGGACTGAACGAAATCGGCCGTGAATTGGGAGAGAATTTTGGTCGGCAGCTGTTGGAAGTGGCGAAGGTGATTAAGGACGTTAAAGTTCACATCCAGGGACTGCAGGAGCTGGGCCTGGTGGAATTCGCAGAACGTGTGAATAACGCCCTACGCGATATGCGCATAAAATTGGAGATTGGTCCGTATTTCTTCCGGGCCATTATGCAGGGATACGACGTTATCACCTACATCGTGCAAGTGGCTCTGCTCATTGTGGTGTTGATCGGGCTCCAGCTGGTGCGTCATGACGCTTTGTGGCCGGGAATTCTGGCCGTCGGTAGTGGACTGGCTTCGTTAGTTTACACCGCCGTTTGGAAACCGCGTGCGCTACCGCAGCTGACACAGCGGCACAACAGTCAGCCGGTCACGTTTACGAACAGCACCCAGGAATCGATTAGGTAAGAAAGGATGCACTGTATCGAGGTTATGCCACTCCGTCATCTACTCTGCAGCAGATTAATGTGATTTTAAACTTTTTTAACTATTAAAGTTTAAAATGCGCGATTCTAATTTCACTCAGGTATATACAATGAAGTTGAAAACCTGCTACTAGATAATATGTTCTTTTTTGGCGTAACGTTTGCTTACGATCAGCAGTCGAGTAGAAAGTGGAGAACTTCCATTTATTTTTATAAATTAGTCTCCCTCAAATGATTTCATTCCTCGCATAAAGGAAAGTGTGATAACCGCAACGGGTGTCGCAGTAACCGGCATTATAACATGGGCATACATTTTGATGGTTCAAATTCAGAAAACTTGCATTTTTTACCGTTGCTGAATATCGGCATGGCTTCTACAGCAACAGTGGTTTCCGTATTTTCAAGGACAAGCGTCTTTATATAGTAATTCATATTCATATGCGAATTTATACT